TTTTGCAGCTGAAAGCACAGCTGGGGACAGATGATGGCAAGCACACCTTTGTTCTCAAAACCCCTAAGGTATGTGCCGACAGAAACATCTGCTTCCTTTTGCTCCTTCCTGTTTAAAGCATTCCCATTGCCAGTCATTCTGTAATTCCTTTTAAACTGTTGTCTGTGCAGGGTACAAGGGACTACAACCCCAAACAGATGGCAATCCGCGAAAAGGTGTTCAGTACCATCATCGGCTGCTTCAAACGCCATGGTGCTGAGACTATCGACACGCCTGTCTTTGAGTTAAAGGTAGCCGGGGGGGGAAGAAAGGGTTGAGGTGGGTTTTTGTGAGTTACTTGAAGTGCATGATTAAAATTTAGACTTGTTGTTTTTTGTTTTAGGAAACTCTAACTGGAAAATACGGTGAAGACTCCAAGCTCATCTATGACCTGAAAGACCAGGGTGGTGAGCTGCTGTCCTTGCGCTATGATTTAACTGTATCCTTTCGGCCGGATTGCATTTCAGAAAGTCAGTAGAAATGTGAGTCAGCAGCTGAAGGCAGAACAGATCTACACACTTGTGCCCGGAGTCCCAGATACTGGCTTTCCCAGTGCGGAAAAGTACTTAGACGGTAATTAGAAATAATCAATAAAAACAATCATCATTCTCGTAGACTCAAAAAAGCTGCAAGTACAGCAATTGAGTGCAGTCAGTTTTGTTTTAAAGGAGTGACAGTAATGATAACTGTTAAAAAAAAAACTTGCTTCCACCTACATGGTATCAATAAACTCAAAGAAAAACCCATGGTGTTCTACAGTATATACTCAATTACCTAATGCATGGAGCTCGCCACTCTATTGGAGTGATGATTTGGAACACTCCCTTAAGGATCAGCTGCACTCTGATCATGGCCCATATGATTGTTTCCTCAAGTCAGGGTTGGTAAAAAAAAAAGCAGAAACTTTCTCTTGCATGTGCATGCTATATACTGACTATATAATGACAAATGCCACATACATAATCATTTAACTTTCCCAGAGGTTTCTGATGTAGCTTATGTATTCTTTCAGGCTTAAGAATTTGTATTTTACTCAGTAGAGTTACTGACTATCTTTCGACCGTAGGGGACAGGCATAATATTAATTGTTGAGGGGGAAAAATACTCGCATGTGCACCAACAGAAAATGTCCCATTCCTTCTGAACTGATGGCAACTCTGTAGTCATTGTTCTTGCATTCTTAACTGAATTCCTCAAGGTTCCTTTTGCGCGCTATCTGGCAATGAATAAAATAACGAACATCAAGAGATATCACATTGCAAAGGTTTATAGGAGAGACAATCCTGCCATGACCAGAGGACGATACAGAGAGTTCTACCAGTGCGTAAGTATGAGTTTGTGATGTTTTACTTCCCTTTAAAGGTATGACAAGCTTAGTCAAAAGATAAGTTGCAAAAAGGAGGAGACTGTTGAGTTGATCTACACTAGCTCATGTGGTTGTGTGAAGCTAATTGATCTGAGCCAATTGAATGGCTCATCCAGCCATTTTTTTAATGGAGCCAGGGTATGAGCTTCACAGCTGTTTGTTGGCTGGGTAGCTTGTTCCAGATTCCCACAAATCTTTGTGTCAAACTTGAGCCTCCTATTATCATATCAGCTCCTCTAAACGTCACAAGGTTCTCAAGGATTAGAGTCTTATTTTGCACAGAGCATTTAAATGAACTTTTTTGGTGGCTTTTTGGAGGTTATAGTAACAGTTCCTGTGTTTAGCTAATTTATATTGTGGTTGTACCTGTTATATATATTGTACTCGATTATCATAGAGAATGCACTTTGCGTTTTGAATCAATTTATACTAGTGTTCAATAAGATACATTCACATTAGTATTAATCAGATATATTTTTAATTGAAATATTTCTGATAATTGCATTTACAGTTAAAATATTATGACAACATATGCAAGTGTCTTGTGCCATACAGTAATATAATCATCTCTTGTATCCAAGGACTTTGACATTGCGGGCCAGTACGATCCCATGATACCAGATGCTGAATGCTTGAAAATTGTTCATGAAATTTTGAGTGAACTGCAACTGGGGGATTTCCGCATTAAGGTAAGGTGTTGTTCAGGATGCAAAAAAAGGGAAATTGCTTGTGTTATGTGCTTTGTGTGTCTGAAAGAGAAAAATCCTGACATGGTCTGTCATGTTAATGTGTGATGTTCTTTTCATTCTTTCTCACACAGGTTAATGACAGGAGGATTTTAGATGGTCTGTTTGCAGTCTGTGGAGTGCCTGATGACAAGTTCAGAACCGTTTGCTCAACTGTTGATAAGCTGGATAAGGTAACTTGGAATGAAAATAATCAGTACTAAGCATCTACAACATGAAAGTAGTTAACACATGTTAGTTAATTGATTCTGAATCCCTTCAATGTCTAGTAATTGTTCTGGTTCAAAAATGAATTGTGAGATGAGTCTTGTCATTTTTTTTCCTGTCCTGCGACAATTTTATCTTGGTCTGTTCTACTTCTCCTTTCTGCCTTATCTTTTGTATACTGCATGGTCACATAAGGTCCATCTTTGGGAATTTCCAGCTTCAGAAATTATCCCTGTTCTGGTTGTAAGCTTGTTACTTAAACCCTGAGTCTCTAGGGAGGTTATCTAATCTAATGCTTCAGCTCTCCAAACATTTCAGCTGATATAGTCTTCCTCCACAGAATGTCACAGGATGAAATACAGTAAAATCACCAGCCTGCATAGTCAAACACAACCTCAAAGTATTATTTACTTCAGTCAACTTAAAAAAAAACTTACAGCACACACATACATTTTGTATGAATCTTTTTTTAATTTGCTGCACTAGGTGTGGATTGTGGTTTGGGTTTGAAATGTTTTTCGTTCCAATTCAATATATATGAATAAACAATGCTTTGGAAGCTGAACTGCTCCTGGTGTTTTTAGAAGGTAGTTTGTGAAGTCTTTTCTTGCTTTTCTGAAACATTTTATGCTGCCTGAAAAGAGAACAAATGCATGCACATTTGAGAAGAACATGTATGTGCATACCGCATAATATGCAGATACAGAATGGGAGTGAAAGCATGTGCTGTCTTTCTGCAGGTGCCCTGGGAAGAGGTGAAGAATGAGATGGTTAATGAGAAGGGTTTGGCTGTAGAGGCTGCTGACCAGATTGGAGAATATGTCAGCATGCATGGTATGAAGGCATTGTAGTAGAATGAAATTCTTTGTTTGCCCCTCAGGACACGGATAAAGTATTTTGAATTGAATTGAAAGCAGTAGAGGGAGATTAACCACTAGTTACAAACTGAAGATCCAGAACAAAAGAAGACAAGTTCCTTCACACCTTTTCTTAGTAGATTGAAGAGAATACTTTAGTGTGGTTCCTAAGACTGAGGAGATATGCAGTGAAATTTATTAAAGTATATACTTAGGAGTGATCTGGATCAGACACAGCTCTTTGTATGCAGACCTCCATCATAAAAAAAAAACTATAATGAGATAAGAGTGTGCCTTAAGACAATTATGTCAAATGTGTAACCCATGATGTCTGAGATCTTGTCTAACTGGCATATGAAGCAACAGTGCAGTTATTTGGTATTGTTCTGTGATCCTTTTCTTTCTAAACGATTTATAACATCATAACACAATGTCTTATTTGCTCTTGCAGGAGGTCTTGATTTGGCAGAAAAACTGCTTCAAGACCCAAAGCTTTCTCAAAGCCAGTCTGCCCGTGATGGGCTCACTGACATGAAGCAGCTCTTCAAATACCTGGAGCTCTTCAAAGTCACTGATAAGGTACAGCAGTCGGTGTCTTAAGCATCAAGCAGTGCAGAACACCGAAAATAAGCCAGAGAACAGTCTCATAACAATATTACCTAGTTTGATAGAATTTTATCCCAGCCAGAAAGTTGTATTTAAAAAAAAAAGATCCTCCTGTAATCTGCATTTCTATTTTGTCACCAAACCCATAGGTTATTTATGAACTATATTTACTGTTCTCCTCAGCATTTTGACTGTCAGAGCCTAAGGACTAATATTTCAGTACAGATGCTTTACTACACCTTCACGTTCTCTAAGAGTCTGTGTAGGGATTGTTGGAAGTAAAATACCACACAGGACAGGAAACGAACATGGGGCTGATCCTCGTGTTGTTCATGACTGTTCAGTGGCTTTTGAAGATCATCATTCTCTAACAACTGCACCGCTGCCGACTTAAAATTATATTATTTTGATGTGTAGGTGGTGTTTGACCTGAGCCTGGCTCGTGGCCTGGATTACTACACAGGGGTTATTTACGAGGCCGTTCTAGTACAGGCTGATCCAGTGCTCCAGAAGCAGCAGGAAAACAACGCCTCAGAAGAGCCAACCAGCGTGGGCAGTGTCGCTGGGGGAGGACGCTATGATGGCCTGGTGGGGATGTTCGATCCCAAAGGCAGGAAGGTCCCTTGTGTGGGAGTCAGTATTGGAATAGAAAGAGTCTTCTCCATCTTGGAACAGAAGGCTGAGGTACAGCTCTTTGATCTGATTTTTAAATCATGAGCCATAAACAACACCGTGTTTCATTGATTTTAAAATAAGAAAGTTCCAGGGTACATGTGCATTTTAATGGTGTCTCATATCAGGGAAGGGAAAGGGTAACAATTCTTAAACTGCCTTTGAAAGTTAACAGAGCTGAAGTCCAGTTTAGATCCTGTTTTGGTAACATCATTTATTGTTCTTATCAACCCTAGGCCTCAGCAGAGAAGGTCCGTACCACAGAGACACAAGTCCTGGTAGCTTCAGCACAGAAGAATCTGCTGGAGGAAAGACTAAAGCTCACAGCAGAACTCTGGGATGCTGGAATAAAGGTTGGGTCAGACGCAGTAGCCTACTTTCAATCTCTTGTGCACACGGGGACATATGCAACTAGATGCTTTCGTCATCAAATAATATGTATTTCAAACATGTTCTAGTAGACTGATACTGTGCTGCTGTTATTGTCAGCAATTGTCCAGCTTCACACCTCCATTTAAACCATAATAACTGTTTTAAGAGATCTCTACTGAAATATGTTAAATGGTACTTGGATTTTAATACAAGTCATTACAATTTTAAATGTTATAGTTGTGTTTTTCAAAAAGCGTACAGGAGCAGTCATTGAATGCTGAAATAAGATCTCATCTATAAAATGTATCAATTAAATTAAGCACGAAGGCACACAAGTCAAAGTTGGGTTATGGGAAGAACAAAATGCATGTTGGAGAGGTAGGGGGAAAAAAACAGAATAATCAGCTCTAAATAATTTTAATGGGGCATCACTTGATCTAAAACAGAGAACGTCAATTATTACCTGTCTTTTAGGATGTTTAAATATGGAATTTAGTGGTCAACAAGGTTCATGAAATACGTTTAACAGACATGCAGCATTGGACTGCAATTTACCTTTGAGGTGACTGGACTGATTCTGTATTGACCATCCCTGGTGTGAATTTCTAGGCAGAAGTCATGTATAAGAAGAATCCAAAACTGCTGAGCCAGCTGCAACACTGTGAAGAAGCGGGAATCCCGCTTGTTGCTATAATTGGAGAGCAGGAACTAAAGGATGGGGTTGTGAAGCTCCGAAACGTAGCTACCAGGGAAGAGGTGTGTATGATTCACGTTTTCAGTGTATAAGTTAACATACAAAGGAGATATGTAAAACTGGAAGCTAGACTGAAGGTCGATCTTTCATTCCATTTCTTTACATGCCATTCATTTAATACAAGATAACGACAGATTGTTTGAGGTATCCGTGTCTGTATAGATATCAGACAAGGTTGAACTACAGTCTGCCAAACAAAAAGAAGGATCATTTTTGAAGGTTTAAAACCACAGGGCTTCAGTCCTGGTCCTGAAGACTAGTGTGTCCGCAGAACTTCTAAAGTCTGTTTGAAGCTTTTAAACCTGAAGCACTGGGAGAAGTTGTTAAATTGGTTTAACAATTAAGACAGTGAGCACATTAAGTTAATTAAGAACTGATTTTTAATAAAAACCTGGTTCAAAACTGCTTTTGCCAGTTCTCAAGTGTTGAGTTGTAATGACTTAAGTTAGTGATTATAACATTGATTTTACATACTCAACTCAAATATTTGACAGAAAATCCAAGTGTTATCTTCTACAGCTCTTATAGCTATTAATATCCCTAATTAACATAATAAGCAAATATGCAGAGCATGGCTACTAAAAACCAACAAGCTAGATGGTTTGAATGCCCTCTTCTGGTTTAGATACAATGCATGTCTGTGCTTCATGGTTTTGGGGTTGCAGTGAGAATATTGTACTTTGTTTTCTCTCATTAGGTTGATGTGAGCAGAAGTGACCTAGTGGAAGAAATAAAGAAGAAAACTAGTGAGTTCTAGAGCTGTCCAATGTCACATACTGCCCACCTTCCACATCTGGATTTTACAGTTTTGTCATCTGGGGAAGCGGCTGTCACAGACCTTGACCTGTGTAATGCAAAATATGGAAATGTAAAAAAAAACTTGTAGATGTCCTGTATTTATATAATCCAAAGGAAAAAATATTATGATCTCATTGCATTCCAGCTATTTGACTTGCCAAACTCACAGCACTGCAAAGGGTAATTTGCTTTTGGAGGCTGCCTAGGTCATTCTCATAAATAAAATGTTTGTCCCATTCTGAAGTGTGAAGTATTTTTTTATTGTTGTAGAAATAAATAGGACAAAGTGACATCTAGGACTTAAGTATTTTTATTTTATTGTTACAGTCTTCTGTCAAATATCTCAATTTTGTAATTAACGGTAAACTGTACTAATTAGGTTTTTGTAAGATAACATGTTAGATAAAAGATGAGTCTTGTTAAAGATCAATAACTGTGGGAAAGAGCAATCAAATCAAAATCTAATTAAACTGGACTTTGTCTTTAACAGTGAAACTCAAACTATTGAGTATTACTGAAAAGTAAAGTACTTCAGTTCTTAAAGTACTGAAGTTAACAGCTTTTAAAAATAAACCCATCAATTTTCCAAAGGGAGAAGCATTCTGTCCTGTCCCACAGGACATATTCTAAAGCCATGGCATGAAATCCTTCTTGATTTATAATCAACACTTACCCGAGCAATTTGCTTCAAAAAGCTAGGTTTAACATTCCGAAACTATTACTGAGCTATAGTTTACGTCATTTGAATTGAAACTTGAAGAGGCTGCTTTGATGAAAAAGTTTTTATTGCGCCGAACTATGTCACATTATAGAAAAAACATATATTAATACTTTGATCTTAATAATGTATACACCATGTATTTGTTTTCACTTTCATTCCTCGTTGTGGATAAGAGTGCTATTGCAAAGATAAAGCTACTTATTCCAACAATTAAAACTATCATGCCAACTGAATAGCAATAATTAAAGTAACCAATGAGAACAAAGCCAAATACAGGCTCAATACTGTAATTATGCATGTTTTGCTTTTTCAACAGCAAGATGAACCAAAAACAATTGAGAAAACTAACAAGGAGACGACAAGCATTTTAAAACGTACTCTGGACCTACACAGGCTGCGTATTTTCACATAATGCGGTGAAACAGCTCAGCCTCTTTTTGCCACTGCCCGAGAGAGGGGATGGCAGGGCAGGCCGTGCAGCTCTCGGGCTGCTCCAGGCAGGCTGCCGTTCGGCTCGCAGAAGCCGAGCTGGGACCGGACAGGCCTTGGAATATGGAAAAGCAGCTTCAGCTGGCGGTGCCTTCGACTTGGCCCACTGGCTCCACCACTCTACCCGGACCGATATGCCAAACATCATCTTGAAGCCTGAAATGGAAAAAAAAATAACACCCAAGGAAATGGATTAAGAAACAGGTAGAAATCATCAAAGGCATTGACAAAATCAAAGCACTGGGCATCTTCAAAATTGACAGAATAGCGAAACACAAACCAAAGGGCACAAGTGGAAACTAAGTGGAAATGTTTTTATATTCGAGCACAGGAGGCACATCTTTACCTTAAGGGTCGTAGCAATGTGGAACAACTTACTCAGCCATGTGGTTGAAGCCGACACTTTTGACTTCTTCCAAGAAACAGCTGGATGAGATCAGTGGATGAATTAACTACTCATTACCAGAGGCCAGATGGGCCAAAAGACCTCCTCTGGTTTGTAATGTTTCTTATGTTCTTATTCTGCAACGTATTAAAATGGAAAGGATGAACAATTCTGCTTAAATGCTTAGACACTGGTAAATCAGATCAGGTGCCTGTCCAACAGTGCTAACATGTATACCTCGCAAAAACTGGTACCTTCACAGATGACTTTTTTTGCCAAAGATGCACTGTGATGTGTGAAGTATTCGACTGTGGCGGAGACATCCTCACTGTCCACGTTTCCAGATATGATGGTTAAGTTCTTCACTCCCTCCGACATCTGATGCAGTGCCATCTGCACTCTGCTCCTCTCCAGCGCCCTGGGCAGGCCCGCGACAAACAGCTTCCTCTTCTCTATGCTCTTGACAACGGTTATATGGCACCCCTTCTGCAGCTCGTAATGGTGCAGCCACAGCACGGCCGTCTGCGCGGTCTGGGGATTGGCGTACTTGGCGAAGGCGAAGCCGCGGTTCTGCCCGCTGAAGTTCATCATCAGCCGGAACTCGTACAGCTGGCCCACCTTCTCGAAGAGCGGGATGAGCTTGTCCTCGAAGACGTCCCGGGGGATGCTGCTGATGAACACCTCGCAGCCGTGCGGCGGCGCAGGACCCCTCCAGTCTGAGGAGACACACGCGAGGCGGAAATCTCAGTTCCCGAACGGGATCGAGTCAAAGTCACCCCCCCCCACCCCCCACCCTGAAGAGCAGAAAGAACAACGAACGTCGCAGCTGTCGAGCCTTCTTCAGGTGTGACAAAGACACGCAGATATAAAGAGCAGGAGGACGGAGGAGGTGACAAGAGACCTTCCAGACGAAAGGAGATCACAAAGGGAGCTGGAATCTATAAATGAACGGAGAGGTTTTAAAAAGAAATTAGTTAGCGCACCCTGAATTCTCCAATATCTGTCACAACTTTTCTTACTGCATCAAACCAAACTCTTTCCTAATCGGTTGAATCACTTAATTGGAAAACTCCAACACCTCTTCAGGCCTAAATAAATTCAATAAAATAACACACTTTAGCCCCTCGGGGCTGTAGCAAAGGCTAGATCAGTGAAACAACCCTGGAGCTGGTGGAAAAAAAAAACATTTCATTTTTATGAAATGTGTGCTTTTCGTTCTTTTTTTTTCAGGCAAAGCTGTAGGATAATTTTACTGTACGTTGGGACAGAAAATACATTCATCAACTACAAAAAGTTGTGTTAATCATTGATCCTGTTTAAATAAGAAAGCAAGACATGTAATAAACACAAGGAAAGCAGGATTTAAAAAATGGTACTTACTGCTCCGAACATTCTGATTCATTAGCGTCAGTCTAATCCACCCCCACCTCTAGCAGGAGAACTTAAACCCAGGAATTTCACAAATTCCCTAAATACTTCCAGCAAAATGGAAATATCCATGGTTATACACTATACTTGGTTTCAAGTTCCTAGTATATCCATAATTTTAATTTTACATGCTTCATAAAAATCATCATGCTCAGCTCATGTTGAACTAAACTGTCAAATCTTAAACTCCTAATTAAAGAATGCATGTTAATAATGCCTTATCTGTGTTCATTACTGTTATGCAAAAATCTGCACCATTTACATTCACCATCTAGGAAGACTTGGACATTTAATAAAAATACAACCACAGCTTTTCACTTGAAATGAGTTTCTGTGAATACTGTAGATGGGCTGTAGAGTAGACTAAGGACATGAAATTACCTTTTCAGCCACAGTAACTTTAACTCAGCTATTGTTCCAAAAGAATTCTTAATTGTTAAGTGATGCAGTATAATAATTAGAAAACCATAACCATAAGTCATAAGTTTATGACTTCCCTATCACTTTTTAAAATTACTGTTTGGATTCAGGATGAGAAAACATGGCTTACCTGCTGGTGGACCTCCATATATTCTCTGTCCATTGATCTGCACAAGAGAGACTCCTGTGCTGTTTTTCCAAGCCTGCAGGGATTCCCAACTTTCTTTGTTCACAAAGTTTAAAATACTATGGGAGCTATCCTAAAAAGTCAGAAAGGAAACATCACTAATCATCTTTACAAGGCACATCTGTACTTAGTATGTCCTGTGTACAGGAGAAATAATTAATGTAATAAGTATATAATTATACGAATTCCTTGCCTATACCATGTATTGTGCCTTTTAGCCCAAAGTGCTTTACCCATGAAAGTGTGTGACAAGTAGCCCCACTACACAGCAGTTCAGGTATAGAAGCAAGAAACAGTTTCACCAATCACATTACAGTAAGGATGAATGTTAGGAACGCAAGATTGCTTAAAACCAAGATACCAAAGTTAAAAACCCTACCGTTTTGAACAGTTCTATGGCTTCCCTCAGAAATCTACAATCCCAGCATTGTACCAACCAGGCCCAGCTCAGCTTAGACTTTGAGATCAGATGAGATCAAGCTCTAAGGTGGTAATAAAGCTGTATTTATCCAAGACTGCCATAAAACGTTCTCAATTTCTTTAAGTGCTGTTGGCTTAGAAACCAGTCAACACTAACAAATGTTTACATTATGCTGAACGACAGTAACGTACTGTTATAAAGAATTAGAATAATTCCTTGCTTAAACAAGGAATTCTCACTTCATTTTTTAAAGAAAAAATCTACTTGAACCAATAATTTAACAATCAGGTTGTTCTTTTGTCCTTCTCAACCATTGTGAAAAGAGTAATTACTCTATTAATCTGGAACAGTATTCTTTTTGGTAACCTCCCTCCTAAGTAGATTTTTAGTCTATTAGAATCATCTGGAAACTCTTCCTCCAGTACTGACCCTTATATTTCATACACTGGCTATTAAGCCATATATCACTTAATACCTAGAAATGTACCAATTAAATCACACATCTCCGCACTCATATTCAAATATGTACAGATACGTGGGTAGGTGTGGTTTGCCATTTTAAAAGTATTGAAGTGATTTAGTTCTTAGTCTTAGGGGAATGTGATAGGATAATGTGTAAAAGCTTAAATATCGCAAATAAATCACTGTGCAGAGACGGATATTTTATTGATAGTGATAGCAGTTTCAACAACAAATACGACGCCCAAAGGTTATACACCACTAAAAACGACATCTTAAAATTAAAAATCTAGAAAAGGTTAGGACAAACTGGAAATCGTTTCAGTAAATTAGGATATATAAGAACAACGATTCACAAACCTAACATTAAAAAAATGGAATATGCAAAAATAATTAAAAAAATATTAATGCATAATCAAACGGACAACTGACCCAAAAACCGTGTAAACCTCAACCACCCATGTTATAGCTTTTGTTAAGTCTATGAACAGCAGGTGCGCAATTGTATTTTTCGGTGAAATTCCGGCATAAGCGTTTTTGAAAACCAGAACCTGCACAAAAAGTCAAATTAAATGAAAAAGTCTTGATCATTAACAACGTTTTACGTAACTGACCTCTGGGAAAAAAGTGTCGGCAACACCTTATTTTAGCAGATTGTAACGATTTTGATATTACTGAAATAAAACACCTGCGTATTTTATTTTTTCAATGAGAAAACGTCTAACCTAAAACCTACCGTTGTCGACTCCATTTATAATTCTTTTTCAAAATCTACTACAACACAAACTGTTCTCAGCTTCGCAATCACTTTTGCATACAACTTTTGACTTCTGGAAACTTCTACAAGCGAGAAAGTATCTTTCTGAATAATTTGCATGTTGTAGGCGGTGCTGCAATGAAGGCGTTGAAATTCGTAAATAACGCACGAATTGGTAAAATCACAATTCAGGGAACAGTTCTTCTGAAATGTAAAAAACAAATCACAGCATGGTCACAACAGCAAAAAAACAAAATCTTACAACATTAGAAAAACGACGTTAATCATGTTCTTAGAATTGGTCTGTGAACGTAGATTATTTCCAGATTATATACGAGTATTGTGCGATGTTTTATGACAACGTTTTAAAAAAGTACATGACATAAATAACTTATCACTTGACTGCTTTCAGGAATTTCACTATAAAATGTTACAAAGCAGAGATCGTCGCGTTTCACGCTCATCTGCGTCAGTTACACCAAAACACGTTTTCCGGAGAAGGTGCGATCTGCGTCCACGTGTTATTAAGACGCACAGCCCATGCTGGCCGGCGCTGGAAACGTGGTTACAGACAGCGGGCGTCCACACGAAAGCAGTTATTACGTTTTCCAGAATGTTATATATTTGCTGCTGTCGAGTGATAATCCGTTCATTCTGTGCCTGCAACGGAAGATCGAGCGTAGGATTTTGCATGAGCACGATGAGACGAGCACGTCTCATTGAGCATGATTAAAATCAAATGCGTCAAAGGCCAGAATCATATTCTCTTAGTCGTTTTTCTTTTTTACTTTTTGCTTCTTCTAGGACTTTCATCTGAAGCTTTTCGCTCAGTTTCGACCTTCTCGGCACTGGCTATACAAAACGCGGGCTATATCAGCGTAAGCTGCTGTTATCAAATTGTCTTCCTTCTCGCCCGACGTATTTCTGGACCATAATGAAATTCCCAAATAATACATTTGGAAACTACCGCACTTTTTCGCCGTCGTCCTGCGATCGGAACGTTAATGCCTTGGGCAACGCGACGTAGGCTGCAGGACGCGTGCCTGAACTCGAGGTCAGGAGGAGCTGCGGTGTTGATCCGAAAAGACTTCAGCAAGAAGACTGTCGGTTTGTGCTGTTGCATACAGTACCACCAAAGGGAGCTGTCAGTGAGGGCTGTGCGCAGTGTTGTTATGAATCAAAACTACCTTTTTCTGTTTAATGTTGTTAAGAGTTTTCGTCTTGAGAAATACGTTTCGGTACAGTTTGTTTTTTAAAAAAATCATGGTTTCAAGTACAAACGAGAGACCATACAGCCCTGTTTAGCAGCTTTGTTAGTTATTAAGTTAATAACTTATAATAAAGTTAGATCAACTTAGATTGGGTATTTCGCAGCTGTGCTATGGATCAATTCCCTCCCATAATAGAAAGGAATACGAGCTGATTGTTACACTGGGAGCATTTCTACTCTAACATAATCAAATTATGCACAGATATTTTTTTTTACAAGGAACTGCAAGGCGTTTACTTTTTTTCGACAAAACCTTAATTACGTCTGCTTGAGACATCCTGTAATATTGTCTATGGGGTCTTATTAATTAAAAGTATATAAGAGTTCATGACCCTTATATGAGACCGGAATGCCACCCCACGACAGGCTGTAGTGGGACTGGGATGATAGGATTAAAATGGATGTTAATGTTTACACAGCTGCAGTGGAAGTTAGATGAAATACTACAGTGGAGACCTGGTGGCTTCACTACTTATCCTGGACACTTACAGGAAGAGAAACTGCAGATCATGCACTGTGAAATACAATAGCCAAAGAGAAAGCAACAGTAAGGAAGTATATAAAGAATATATAAGGTGGTAAAAGAGACAAGACACAGAAAAGTGAGTCACAGAATAGTGGAACTATTACGTTTAACAAGTAAAACTATTTAAAAATTAAAAATGTTCGAAGTACTTACTCCTTTTGTAGAGCAAATATTAAATTACATCTTGTGTGTGTTAGTTTCTGTAAGAAATAATTCTTTTGTGAGATATCAGATATCTGTCAATATCTGCACCACAAATGCTCAAGAAGATTCATGAAGACGAGGGACTTTGCCCGATATTTCCTGCCCAGTGAGGAGTGCTATGATTATAACTTTATAAAATTTATTGTACAAATGTTTTGAAAAACTATAGTTTTGTGGTAACTGATTTTAAACGTAAACTGTTATTTAATACTACTTTTATTACACAAAAATGTTTTTCATCCGTTTATTTTGTACACTGTAGCCCATCCTCATCGGAAATGATGTAAATACTGTGTGTTTCGGAAAAACAATGATAATTGTTCCCCCTTTTGGAAAGAACTCCTGTCCAGAGGGTGGCAGTAAGGTTAATGGTTAAAACGCAGGAAACCCCAATGAACTCTAGGCAATACAGAAACATGGGTATAGTTTTACGTCTACATAATTTACGACAGCCGTATTCTGTTATGAGCAAAATGGCGTCCGGTAGCGGGGTAGGTTTTGAGTGTTCTTTCTTTTTATTTAAAAAACTGCAAGTTTCAATAGTTCTTCAACAAAGAGTATTTCCGTTTTTAAAATGTCTACTTCCATTTATCGCGTAAGCGGTTTAATTTGATTATAGCCGCCTTACTGATAAAGTAGTTTAGCTACCAGACCTGATGGTTTAACTAATAATACCCCAGACTGGTGAGAATGTTTTGTTGGTTGAGTATTTTGTAACTTGCCTGAATTATGTACAAATTGTAAGATCATTTCCTGGGGGGTTTATTGAGATGGAGATGGTGTTCTTCGAGATCGTGCTATGTGATATCTAAATGTATTTTTTTTCCAAATACTTTCATACATATATGTGGACAACCATATACATTTTCTATACATCAGACATCTAGAGCAGAGTGACAGTTTGAAGTCCATGTGCATTTTTAAATGACACCTGAAAAGCTATTGCCTGGCTGAAGTCGATTCGGTGTTTTAAGTTTCTGTTCAAGTCGTTATTCTCCTAGGAAAAAAAGTAAAAAGTAAAACAATTTGCTCAAATGACTGTATAGCATTTTTTTATTAACTAGTTTTAACTTCGATATCGCATATATGTCGCTGGACTTATGGTACCTTCTAAAGTTATCGTGTATTTAGTATTGATGCAAAACTCTTTTATTACTAGACAAAAAATGACTTCCGAAGGAAATGGGATAAAGATGAGTATGAAAAGCTGGCTCAGAAGCGCCTCACGGAGGAAAGGGAGAAAAAAGATGGTAAGATAGCCTCTGGCATCCCCTTAGTTTTAACTTTAAACACATTAAAAGTTTTTTTTTGTGTTTGCGTCTTACAGAATCTTATAAGGTGCTAATCATTTTGACTCCTGATGATGTGATAGGAATAAGTACTTTGCGCTAATATAAATACTGTTAAAATAACAGAAGCATGGTGTAGTTTTGAGTCAGATTCCTCCTGGTCATTGTGGTCAATGAGAATTTGTTCTCATTTCACCATTCCATAAAATGCACGAATAATGATTGTGTCATGTAACGGCCCTTTGACTGTAAACTCACAGGTTACAGTTACCACACACACTGAAAATTGGATGACTAAATGTGTTTGATAACTTGAGCATGTGGGTACAAATACTATGTTTAGCCTTATTATAGAGGTCCCAAATAACATATAGAAAACCTTCACAATGTGTATTAAAAAGTACTGTTGTAGAAACATAAAATCATTTTTTTAGAGCTGCTACACTAAATCTCACTCAGGTGTAAATAATAAAACCTACATATTTGGGCTTCAGTATGTAGTGGAGGTATGAATAAAAATGTTCTGGCGCCATTAACTGCATTTGTTACATTACAGGCTCATTTAGTGAAGTTTGGTTCATGTCTGGTTGTTTTATTTTTGCATCAGGAAAACCTTCTCCGCCTGTTAAACGGGAGCTTTTACGACACAGGGACTACAAAGTGGACCTGGAGTCTAAGCTCGGGAAAACCATTGTCATCACTAAAACCACCCCGCAGGCGGAGATGGGTGGGTAAGTACTTTCAGGCTCGTCGTCCCACCTGATTGCTCATTCAGAGACAAAATCTTGTTCTAGGTTTTGGTCTTTACTGTTTGTTTGAGATTTCTAAGTCCTGAAACTTATTGGACAAGTGTGTGGTATGGTGATATTCAAATTGTACATACACATTGTTCATCTGTAGCTCGTAACAGAAAAAACAATTAATAGTTCACTACTTTCCACTTTTCCACAGGTTTATGTACACCTTATAAATTCTCTTGCATTCAGTTCTTTTAATAGAATACTCTGTAGAGATGGCAAGTTGAAAAAAAGCGAGCTTAGTACTGTCATTGTTAAATGGATTAATCTGTTATACCACAATATAGGAATGCATTAGCTTGAAACTGAAACCAAAGATTAAGAAATGTTATGAGCTGAAAAAGGTATTTTTGGTTATTTTTTCAATGAAATCTTAATTTAACCCCCTTTGTTTGTTTTTCTTTGGGTTTCCAGATACTATTGTAATGTCTGTGATTGTGTAGTGAAGGATTCAATCAATTTTTTGGACCATATCAATGGCAAGAAACGTAAGTACAGACTTTGAGGAACATACTGCTATTTAGCATGAAGGTTTATCTCAGAAATTCTTGCTTTTGCTGTATTAATCTAGATGGTTCTGGTTCTATAGATGTCCAAGACATTTTGCAACACTAAAATAATTTTAAGAATCTCACGTTTGCTTCCTGTACTCATCTTTCATTTTTAATTAAATGTAGTAGAATAATTTACAGAACTTTACAGTGTCTTTACAGAGCAGTATAATTCTGCAGTGCCAATCCTCTCCTCACAATATTATGCTTGAGCATGGATTTCATGTCTTATTTTGCCGCTCTGAGGGAAATTCATTTTTATGAAGGTGTCGGAAATCTTGTCGCTGGCTCTGCTTTCAGATCAGAGAAATCTTGGTATGTCAATGCGGGTGGAACGGTCATCCCTTGATCAGGTGAAGAAACGTTTTGAGATGAACAAGAAGAAGCTGGAGGAGAAACAGAAAGAGTATGACTTTGAAGAGCGCATGAAGGAACTCAGAGAAGAGGTAATTTGCCAAGGGCTTCCAATCACAGTACAGTTTGTTTGCCTTATGCAGTGCAAGTCTAGGACCTACCCTTGATCCCGGAGAGCTGCAGCACCTACTGTTTCAAATGGTAACCAAGCCCCTGGTACCATAATTGAACAAACTGTTGCTCTACACTGGTTAAATTTAACTTATTCAGCCACTAATTCTTGGGTGGCTTCAAAGTGTGAAATATTCAGTGCCCTACAGAACTGTGGTCAGTAACCAGTGTTTTCAGTATTTTTTTTTTAGTCTTAATTCTAATCTGGTCTGCTTACTTTGGCCTTCAGGGTCTTTCCCTAACAGTTTGGCTTTAGAAAAACTCAAATGGCTTTTGGTGTATTAGTAACTTCACAACAATTTGAAAAAGAATAGAATGATTGGTGGTGGTGGAGGGGAGTCCCCATTACCTGTAAAGCGCTTTGAGTGCAGTGTCCAGAAAAGCGCTATATAAGTGTAAGCAATCATCATCATCATCAAAATGTAGCTTTTCTTATCAGCATGCAAGCTTAACCTCTAGTTGTTCCTTAGCAGCCCACATGCTGACATCCCCCTCCCACTTAAACAGCTATTACATTAAAGGGACAGCTTTCAGATTTCTAGTTTGTGTTAAGAAAAAGCTGGAAATAGAGGTTTCTTTAGACCTGGGATCCTAAATCTTGGTTCTGTACGGCCAGTGTGTCTGCTGTTGAGTCTAGCTGGGCTATTAATGACCTGAAATCTTAGGTTTAAGCTAGCGTTATGTGTTGTTTCCTAAGCAAAGCAGCAGTGCATGCATGCAAATTTCTGATGTTTTTTTATAAGCTTTTGCACATTTGCACTCACTCACTCGCCCCGTTCTTCATCATACAAGGTTTTGGTCACAGTAATAGAAGGCAAGAAACGCAACAAAATTCTTCTGACTGTGATACTCCTCTGGGAAAGGCACAGTGTCGCCCCTGGAATTAGGCAGTTTGGATATTAACATCTCTCTAGTGAAGGAACATAACCCTCCTGGACACACTGACAAAGGCATCATATGTGCTTATATACATCAGGGAAAGGTAATATTGCACAAGAAGTGACAAATGTGGTCTCACTTTTTTAAAGTTTATGGGCAGTATCTACTCATGAACAGTGCAGTAGTTTCTGTTGTTGCATCTAGGGATCTGTTGCTAGGCTCACATCTCATCTCACCTTGCACTTAGCAGGTGTTTGCTGTGCTGGCAAGAGTAATTCTGTCAAATGGAAACTTTGATCCTAGCCCAGTAAAATGGGGAATTAAACAGTGTTTTCCCCATGTAAGGCAATATATTTCAGCTTATCTATACATAGCTTGAAAAAGGTAACATGTTATATGTGGGTTAGAGCAAACCAAGTTCTTCTGCTGATCCAGAATTTCTAGTAGTGTCAGTTAGATATACCTCATTGTAAGCAGCATGTGCACTTCAAAAGTTTTAAAATATTAAAAGAAAATATAGAAATATTACTTATGTAACAATAGCACAGTTTAAGTTATTATTATTTACACTCTTGGCATGTCAGTTGTTAATGTTTTTACCTGTTGTGCTGAATTGTTTCAAGACCGGAAAACATCCATGAGTAATCCACAGTGTTTGTCCTGCTGTTTTGCCAGGAGGAAAAAGCAAAGGCATACAAGAAAGAAAAGCAGAAGGAGAAGAAACGCAAGGCGGAGGAAGAGCTGACCTTTGAGGAAGACGATGAAATGGCAGCAGTGATGGGATTCTCAGGGTTTGGCTCCTCAAAGAAGGGGCATTGAACCACACCCATTACAGCTTTATCACCGATCCACACCTAGTCCTGTTGACTCCTTTATCTAACACAAGGTTGGCAAACCCTTTCACAATTCAGTGGAGGGACATGGCAGAACCTCTCCATCTCCTTGAAACAGCCTCGGACCATTGTTCTTTTACAATCGGGCTAAGCACAGGAGTTTCTAAGTGACATTTAAGTTCAACCCAAGTTGTAAGAAAAAAAAGGACTTCAGAGATGCCCACATTCCACATCCAACTAGTAGCAGAGTTTCATTCTAAAATGGCTTGAAGTGTATTATTTTAATGTCTTTCTTAATAATGCAGGTTGAATGAGAACTCTTGTACCAGCGCATGAAAGTCGATTTGCTCCCAGGTTGTTTGTTCTTTTTATTGGTGCATTTTTAGTTTAAAAATAAAAATAAGAAGTCAGATCCTTTCTCTTGCTTTGGTGATTCCCATGTACATAAACAGATTGCTCACGGGGGCTCTTTGTGGAACATAAAATGATTAAAACAATAAAGTACTCAAGTTTACTCCTTGACAGTTGCATGCTCTAGAAACATGTGGAGTGCATTGCCAGTTCTTTGGTAGTAATGCTATGTGACTGAGTAGCTGTCAGTCCATGCTAGGTAGTCTTTCTGCTGTCCAGCATGATGAGCTTTTGATCTACAGATTCATGGGTATAATCCATGTCTGTCAACCTGACTCTAGATTGCTGAAGATTTCCTGAATTTCCAGTGGATTTGATTATAGTAATATAACAACATTTATATTCATAAAAAAGTGACAGTTGCTTTGAGAGGTTTAAATGGCTACAGCAAATTTAAAAAGATACCTTTGATGTATTAAAATTCAGTAAATATTGAACTTTCTAAAATATGAAAAAGTTGTAAAACAGAATGACCTTGCATTTTCCATATGCTCTGCAATCCCGATTTTGGCAAATCTGAAGCCTTTGTGATTAATATGTAGCTTTTATATAAATCAATGATTGGTTTTGGAAACTTGGTTAACCTACATGTATCTTCACTTAATTGGTCAGTTTAAGTTACTCAGATTTTTGTTGGAGTTAACACTTTTTAGACCATCTAACTGTAAAGAACCTAGAGTACAGGCAATATGTTTTCTGGTGCATCACTTTCCTCAGCAGTGGTATTAAATAAAGAACATTAATGATTTCCAATGGTCTTCTCACCTTCAAGTACTTGTAACTTCTATCCGCAGCTTTACTGAGGTTGAATTTATTTGTCCAGTCATTCCCAGAAAACAGCTTGTTTCCAGTAAAAGCAGCGGCAAACTGGAGCCTATCCTGGAAGCATAGTGCATAAGGTGGGGATATAGGCTTGGATGTCCATTGATAGGCATTCAGAGAACTTAGAGACACTCGACTAGATAACATTCTTGAAAGAAAAGAGAGAAGTTAATCACCCAGTGAATGTTAACACAAGCCTGGGGAGAGCCAACAGACTCCATACAGAAGCTTCTCCAGCCTACAATTAAACCAGAAACCCAAAAGCTCTGAGGCAGCGGTGCTAATCCCTGTGCTGTTGTACTGTTCTGTGTTCATTTATATTTCAACATAAATAGTGGTGGATTGGGAAAGGATAACATCTGCATTAAATACTGGCAATTCTTAACAAGTCTGGATTGATGTTTAATACTCTGTCCCATTCGGAGCCACGTGCTTTCTCTTGTGTGAGACTTTAGAAAACGTACATTGTTTATTTCTATTCGTTTTTACATGCGTTTCTCAACTAGACTTTCTCGTCTTAATGTCATTGTCCCATAACAGCATTTCGTCCATCACGAAAGTTTTAGATGGAAATAAAACAACTTAGGCTTTTTTAAGAACACGGTTATATTATTAATGTAATTTTACCTGCTTATTGGTTTTCTTTTTATTTGCCGTATTTTTCTGAACAGAACTCGGTACAACGTACTATTTAGAAAGATGGCTACTGTATATAGTTTGTTATATACTCCCACTAAGACTTAATTATAATGTTTTCTGACGAAGGAATCTTACACTGATTAAATTCAACATATCTCTGTTATTACTGGTGTTGTTTTGAGTAATAATACCACAAAAATACTGTTGTTATTTTACAGATGTAAAATAGTTTAGACTGCACACAGCGCACGTGTGTATCGTAACCAGTACTGGTTTGTGTAGTGCTTTAGTTCAGTTCAGTTTGTCACAAGTGCAACGATATGCTTATTTGCATATATGATCGAATACAACGATTACGAACCATGGGAGCTGTCCGTCGTTTTCGTTCTTTTATACAAAATGTTAACCATCTGTGACATACACCTGTGGTTGTAATGTATGTAAAATCACCGTGATTGTCAGATCTATAGTTTTTATTTTCTAAGGCACGTTTTCCTTTGCTTTCCCCACCGTGACACGCTGTTGCCAAACGCTTAACTGCGGGATACCATCGCGACTAATTCTTCACAGCATGTCATGATAGAGACCCCATGTATATCACATGTATATCATGGCAGTGTAAATCACGACTGGCGTCTTGCCACCCTGGCACCGCTGTCGCAACAAGGGTCTCATAGCAGGACATGATATACCCTGATAGTACCTGTCACCATATGTTGCAACAAGGGGTCAGTATATCCTGTAAGGGTATGTACTGTCGCAATATATGGACCCCATGTCGTAACGTGGGGGTGTGGCATTTTGTCAGGGGTATGTCATATCGCGATATGCGGGGCTTCATGTCGTGATATGGGCGCGGCAGTTTTTGTGATATCGCGATACATGGACTCCATGTCGCGACATGGGAGGTGGGCGTTTTGGCTGGACATGTCATATCGCGATATAGGACCATTCATGTCGCGACATGGGGTGGAGCATTTTTGCTGGGGTATGTCATATCGCGATATGAGGGCTTCATGTCGCGACATGGGCGTGGCAGGTTTTTTGTCATATCGCGATATGGGGATGGGCGTTTTGTCGGGGGGGGGGGGAGCGTGGTACGCCATATCGCGATATTGCGATATATGGACTTAATGTCGCAACAGTCGCACCATGACGGTGATGCGCCAGTCGCAATGGGTATCGCAATGTGATCATATGTGCGCACTTCTATGGTGACATGCTATCGGAGTCGTGAACGCGCTGTGGATGCCATGACATTTTGTTGTCTGCTTTTCCATTTTGACCTCAGTGCGACTTCTCTTATAGTGATTATTAATTGGAAACCAATGGATGTGTTACTGTATATCCAGGGTGCTCATACAGCACACACGGTTAACCAGGGCTACAGTATTTGGACCAAGAAGAACCTCCATCACCTGTGTATCTACATGTTCTCGGTGCTTCCAGGTGGCGCTTTACCCAATCAGAGTGTCGATTCTTACTCTTCACCCGATCGCGGCCCGCTGTTTGGGGGTTTAGCCAATCACGGGTCTGAGAGATATTCAAGCTAACAACACCAGGTGGATCGGGTTTTTTAGCGTCAATGAGAATATTTTTAAAATGCTTTACTTATTCGCAAAATAATTACATCGGCTTATTTTTTAACGTCTTTATTGATTCACAATGTCCCGTACTCTTCGAAATAAATACATTTTTATTTGCAATATAACTCTCCGCTGCTTTCTGTAATTAATACGTGGTATTTTAGCAATTGTAATCGTATATTTAAGGTAGGTGAAATACTTTCTGCTTTGTACTTTAAAAATGAATAGAAATGTAAAGTCTATGATCATTATATTATTATGCTCGGGCTTTTAATTTTTTTATTGTTAAATTATATCGATCTTGAAACTAATACCTAAAAATGTGAATATGGGCTCTCGTGTTGTACCAGGGTACACAAGCAATACGTTTTCGAGAACATGGTGAAACATTTAAAGAAAGCACCTATCCCAAATAACTAACATAGTAACTCCTCCCTGAATGTAAGGCAGTTTATTCGTGTAAAGGCTGCAAACTCTGGGGTCAACTGATCAAAAGATCACAACTGAAAGATCTAGCGGGTTGTGACTTTGCTGTTTTGTACGTCACAGAGTGACATCACAGCCAGGAAAAGAAGACGCTATATTAAAATATATTGAAACATCCACCCCACCCAATCAGACAGACTCGGAAAACAAATTGCCCCCATTGTTTTCATCACAATCAGGAGCTCAAGCACCGAGTTGTTGGTACCTGTAAACTTCCTTGTAGATAGACACGTGATTACCCTAAAAAACAAGGTGCTATATCTCGTAAAGGAGAGCAGCACAAACGCTACCGACAGCAACATAAACCGACACAAACGCAGCAGTACCAATTGCGGTGAGTTTCATCGTTTGTGGTGTCTGTAGGGGGGGGCAACTTCACGGAGCTCAAGGTAAACCCTGCATGGGATTTTAAATACAATATTTCGGACGGATTTTGAAATCTTGCGTTTTGCTTTGTGTTCATTGTGTTTTGCAATAAAATATTAACTTCAGAGTAACTCGTTAAACTACTGAACATTCTAAAAGCAGGCATACTAAATACTTAGAACTGTTACAAGCAACAAGTGAAAATGAGCTCTTGTAGCCGTTCTTGAGCTAAAGACAAAGTCCTTATATGAGAGACCTTTGCAAACTAGCTATCCTTTGAAAGAGAATTAGCCGACTCTCTAGACAGTGACGAGATTATCGCCATATTCAATTCCAAGCCCCGATGCCTGCGTCTGGTCTAGAAGACCAAAACCTCACAACGGAGGTAGGCACTGGTTGTTTTTGTGTGTGTGTCCGCCGTGGCACAGTAGCGTTTGGCGGCCTAGGTAATTGTTGCTTAACCTGTGTGTGTGTGAGAGAGAGAGACAGTAGGTATATATATAAGGTTCCACTAATTCTGCTGTTTGATTATACCGCTCGAGGATTGCATTGTAAATTGGAGTGGTCCCCCCGTGCTGGCAGGATGATCAGTTAGAGCCCGGGCTATCCACTTTTGCACAGGCCCACCCAAAGATCAATACCTGGCTACGCCCCTGGTTTCGGGGTAGATCACTAGGTAGAAGCAACACTTTTACACGAATTTCATTTTTACTTGTACATCGATGCTGTGAATTGATTTTTGTGAACTGGGATTTAAAGGGGATATCTGCGCAGTCTAGAGCACCTACTACATTACGGAATGCTGCAAGCAATGTTTCTTTCATAGTACAGTACATGTGAGAATCTTACCTGCCTTTTCATGAAACCCTGTTTGATTGTATTCACTAATGCATGTTGAAGTATTTCAGGTGGATTTAAAAAACGAGATGGCTACTGCAGGTAGCTGCGTCAGCATGTGTAGGCTGCAAAGGAACAAGTAATGGGTTTATTCCATGCTGAAAAAAGGAAACACAACGTTTCGGCCGTGGAGCCTTCTTCAGGTGTCATATATAAACCTATTACTTGTTCACTAATGTATGGCCGGAAAACAACATCTAGCGTAAATAAAGTCTAAAGTCTAAATTCCATTTAACTCGTTATTCCATTTAACGTTTTTTTTTAAATCTTGTTTAACGCTACTTTCATTGTAGAAACGTGATTGTAAAGCAAGTTTTACATCCACGCATAAGCTGTGATGATTTGAACACGGCGCCTCTGTAGGCAGGAGGGGCGGGGGGAGGGCTTTGTGACGTATCGGAAACGTGTACCTTTGTCAGCTGTTTCACTGCTGCGATCTCTGCACTGGGTTAGCTCAATGGTTACTTCAAACTTTGCAAGTTTCTCATTCCGCGGCCGCAAGGTTGCGGGGTTCGGACCATGGGCGCTGTCTACTGTTTTTGTTTTTGTTTTTTCTCCTTTTTTTTCTTTTAAACTAAAGAAACATAAATCTCCATCTAGCGCTCCGTATCGGTTTGTAGTGATTTAGTTTACAGTTCAAGGTTAACAGTTTAAGGTAGAAACTCCGTGCCTGTTGTCTTCAAATGATTTCCACGCATTTTGAAAAGAATTGCTTGAAGAGCCTAGCAATAAAACGTAGCGGCATAAAACAAGATAAAAACGAGTCACGAGACTCAGGCTATGTGACGTCGATGTAATAAAAACTTATTTTCCGCCGATTACAATCGCGCCGGCTTAGCTCAGCGGTTACTTCTTGAACAAACCTTTCCCCTACCCGGGGTTTCGAACCACGGGCGCTGTCCGGCGTTTTTTTCACTTTTATCAAAAATAAAATGAGGTCGATATGAGTATT